TCAATACGCAGCTTCATAAGCTCGTGATTAAAATTGTTAGAGCGTGAAATACATGTAAAAAATGAAATAAACCAATCGATAAACGCGTAATGACAAATGAGTAATAGTATCAAACATGAAATAAATTATTGCAGTCTAAGTACTTAAGTATGCGTTTCCGAAGGGCAGATCGAACCTTAAGAAGTTTCACAAGCGTTATGTTAGCCTGCTCTGAAAACCAACCAAATTTAGACCCTACAAAGGGAAAGGGCTCGAAGGAAACCCATACGAGGACAGTTTGCGAACTGGGGAACACGTGTATCTTCCTCTTATACGTAACATACACGGAGGCCAAGTAGATTGGTCAACGGCTGTCCATGTTAGGCCCGGTGGCTTCTGTTCGCCTGTTCAATGGTCAAACGAAAACATTTGTCAGCTGTTCGAACCGAATAAATTATCCCTCGTATTAGAGTGCGAAGGTCTAAAACTCTTGAACCGTTCGACACGGAGGGAGCATGAATACGCACAACGAAATTTTACATTACTATAGAGAAATTTTGAACGTGTGCAGCAGTTATCCAGTCAGGAACACCTGAACACCCTTAATAACCAAGAGAACGTTTCACCAGCCACTGCTCGCTATTGTTTGCAGGTCGCCAATTGATGGTGTTCAATAGTCAATCGACCATTCAGGTCGGCGGTCGATGGAATCGCAACGAAGGCAGAGTGGAGAGGCCATTCCTGGGGATAATTGCCGGGCTCGTTGTCAATGGTGCGCGAATTTTAGAGCTGGCCGCTGCTAAGGATGGAAGGATTACTTCCAGCGGGGATGTTCAGTTGTTGCCGCCGGGTAGCCTTCTAGATCGAGCAGCACCTTTGCAAAGAATGCAACAGGTACCAGACTTATAAAGAACAATGTTACTTAATAACGCTCTCATTATTCTCCTAATTATTCATCTATTTTCGTAACATCATACACGCTTGTTATGCATAATATTCTGTTACTGGTATTATCAACATATTGTGTTTAGCTTGTAAACAGTTATTAATTTCTATTACAAATTGCAACCATGATGTGATTAAAATACATTACGTAAATTTAATAATTATTAGGATTTGATACGAAAGAGATATGAATGTCTCGTCTTTGAACTTTTATCACATTTATTGCAGACAGTATAACTTTCCACCCTTCCTGCAGCTTTTCATTTCAAAGTTTACTCTGTCCCGGCAAATAAATTTCGAAATTCCGTTTCGCTGCAGACGCCAGCATCCGGTTTCCCAGGTCTGGTAGACGACCTAATATTTTCTGGGGCCGGAAGTGGCTGTGCCGCCGACGACGAGGATGAGGAATGCACGCCGATCTACGAGCCTGGTTCCGGTAAGTGTAAGTAACATTTCTAAAGCGCGTAAATTCATTCCTCTATCACAGGGGAAATTCGTTTACGCGCTTTCGTATCTGGCACGTACTTATCTGTATTTTTTATATACGTACGTGCACATTGTATGAATATTTTTAATATACTTTTACAAACTATTATACATTTTATAGGACGAAGTTTATTTATTTCGATTTATCTTCTTATAATCATTATTACGTTGACTGAATATGCATGTGTCTCTCCTACAGATAAATATTTGTATTCATCACACACGTAACTACATTCACATGCACACATACATATTATAGATATAGCTAAATTTTTTATAA